TTCTCTTCGCGTCAGACATGAGACCAGTGGGCTGTTTCGGGTTTGTGTGTCGTTCATCCAAGTATTGAAGCCAAGTGAAAAGCCACCAGGGGAACTTTCCATCCTGTTCAGAGCCGGGGTGTCGTCGACTAGCTCGAGGCTTCCAATTTTTGAGGGCCAGGCCCACTTTGGGAACGACCAATTGGTCGAGAACGTTTGCATACACAAATGGCGGTAAAATCGCCTTCCAGGCCACGACCAGCGCGGTTGCCTTGGATGGATCGTAAACGTCCCAATCATTCAGGAGTGCTGAGCGCACTCGTGGGAGCCAGAGGGTATAGATCATCGTTTCGTAAGGTGAGGTGGATGCCCGTTTCCGGGGCTCTTCTAGCCCGTTCGTGCGAGACAGAAGAGGCTGAAGACGGGTGAGGTTGGATACGAGGAACGTGGGATCTTGCATAGGCTCCCATTCCTCCATGGCCTGGCGGAATAACGGATGTAGAGCCGCGACTGCGGTCTCTGGGAGTCGATGCTCATCAACAGCATCTCGACATTTGGATTCCAAATCTTCAAGCTTGTTGGTTATCTCGTCAAATTTGGTCGCGATGCTTTCGTCGTTTTCAAAGATATCTAGTTCTTCCACTGCGGCGATTAGGCCCGTCAGATGGTCGATCCGCGATTGATACGCATCCAATTCGTCCATCACCTGAGCTTCTTCGAGTTCAATGAACTGTTTTCTCTCTTTTAATCCCTTCCATTCATCTGCAAATGCTTCCAGGTCATTCCGAGCTCGCTGGGTAATCTTTAACGCTTCTCCTTCCTCTTGGCTGACGAATCGCTGTGTCGACATCAGGCCAGCAGTCGAAGTGAGGACACGCTGCTCTTTTCCGGTGGCATCGACAAGTGATTTGAGAACATTGGGAACTTCGAGTCCTTCCATATCATCCTCAATTTCGCGCGCTGTGCGGAATTTGGGTTTCGCACGCTGGACCGGTGTACCAGTGGCGCTCCGACCCTGTGCCTTGCGCTCCTCCTTCTTCTTTCGTCGCCGTTGCAGTTCGTCCTCGGAGCTGTCTTCGAGAATCTCGCCCCTCTGTGCAGCGGCTCGTCGCTCTTCTTCGCGAGTCTTTTTCGACTTCTCACTCACTGCGCCCAAGCCTGCACCCTGGGGTCGCGCCTGTACCTCGATCGGGTTGACGATACCCTGGCCCGTAGTTCCGAGACCTTGTCCTTCCCTGTAGCCCATCTTTGCCATCATGCGCGCGGCAAAACTGTTGGCTCCTCCCCCTCCACCGCCACCTCCCATGGCTTTCCCACCTCGTAACGATCCTCCGCCTCGAGGGTTGGCCATGCTGTTTCGGTTGTTGTGGGCTCCACTACCTAGTCCACCCATAATGGGAGGTGATACAGAGCGAGAGGTAGCTCTGGCGAACCCACGAAAGCCGGTGGTCGGGCGCGTGTTTTCTTCATCGGAGCTCATCTCAGCGACCTTGCGCTTTTGCCCAGAAAACGAAGGCGACTCCATCTTTTCAGGGGTTCATTGGCAGATTGTAGCCAAATCAACAGTCCCCTCCGTTTTCAGCAAAAGAGTTATAATAAGCAAGTAGTGTATCCTGGGAGAATGAGTCTCAGTCGAGAGCTCATGAAATTCACGTGGGGATCCGGGGCGGAACAACCAAGCTCCGAACCGACGAAAACAAGATGACGTTAGGGTCGGTTACTTCATAGCTCCTCGGCCACTTTTTTCCTTTCGATTCATTCATCTGTCACAATTGACACAATCTTTATTCTTTTTCGCCGCATATTCATACTCAACACATATATTCAGAATGGCTGCTCTTCTTAGCAACTCTGCCCGCGTTGCCCTTCGCTCGGGAGCTTCGGCTACCTCCAAGGCCGGAGCTGCGGGCTTGACCTTTGCCCGCGGCAAGGCCACCCTCCCTGACCTTTCCTGTAAGTAGGGTGTCCCAGTACCTGTTGGAGCTTAGAGAAACTGTATCTATGTATTTGGAGTAAAGTCATTTAGACTAACATATAAAATAAGACGACTATGGTGCCCTTGAGCCCTCTATTTCCGGCAAGATCATGGAGATTCACCACAAGAACCACCACAACACCTACGTGACCAGCTACAACAACACCCTTGAGCAGCTGCAGGAGGCCCAGGCTAAGGGAGACATCTCTACTCAGATCGCTCTCAAGCCCGCTGTCAACTTCCACGGTGGTGGCCATCTCAACCACACTCTCTTCTGGGAGAACCTTGCCCCCAAGAGCGCCGGCGGTGGTGAGCCCCCTTCTGGTGCCCTGGCCAAGGCCATTGACTCCACCTACGGCGGCCTCGGCGAGTTCCAGTCCAAGATGAACGCTGCTCTCGCTGGCATCCAGGGCAGTGGCTGGGCTTGGCTCGTGAAGGACAAGCAGACAGGACAGATCGGAATCCGCGCCTATGCCGTAAGTTATGATTGCCGATTACTCGCTTTTTATGTGAACTGTTCTAGTTGCTAAGTCCTTACCAGAACCAAGACCCCGTCGTCGGTCAGTTCCAGCCTCTGCTCGGTATTGACGCTTGGGAGCATGCCTACTAGTAAGAATTCCTGCTTGGATGTCCATTGCCTATGCTAATCGTCCTCTAGCCTCCAATACCAGAACCGCAAGGCGGAGTACTTCTCCGCCATCTGGGATGTCATTAACTGGAAGGCAGTTGAGAAGCGCTTCGCTTAAATAACCTTGGGACTCTATTCGATTTGTAAATGCTGCTATAATATCTTGCGCTTAATTACCCCTGTATTGTAGCATGTGTTTTTCAATATTATCAATTATTTGGTAATATAAGATCAATCTTATTTAGTTAACTAGCTATTTCTTATTCCTATCGAATGTCAACCAATATGGCAGACCGGGCCGGGCGGACCGCGTAATGCGGAAGATCACCGCAAGCATCCGAAACAAAAGATCCTGATATTCTCCATCTGGGCCTCGAACGCATGCATTTATTGGCAACTCCATTATGTCGGCAGAAAGTCCTGGCCAGAAGAATGGCTTCAAGTCGTTTTTCTCTAACGCATTACGCCCCAAGAAATCCCGCCAAACCCTCCGCAAGGGCAGCAGATCGACCACAGACCTGCGGCTGGCCGCGCGCCCCAGTGTCGAGGAAGCCCCTCCAATGCCAGAGTTGGCTCCATTGCACGCCCATAGACTTAAGTACAGGGAGCTACACGCGCAAGTGGACTCGCAGCTGGGCGAGCGAAGGGACTACACAGAAATTATCCATACGCTAGGCACATTGGACCTCAACGGTATCACCGCTCCAACATACGAGCAAAATGAACACCGACCCCCGGGCGAAGGCGATATAGCAAGTCTCCCACCAAAGCTATGGGTGCAAATAGCAGGATATCTCAATCCCGCCGAAGCCGCAAGCCTAGCAATGGCCAGCATCACATTATACCGAAGACTAGGCCCAAGATACCTCATGACCCTAGACCACCCAGACAACCACACCCACAAAATCAATTTCCTCTCCAATCTGGATATCTCTCTCCCACATCACCTCCTCTGCTTCCCCTGCATACAATACCACAGACGCACACAAGAAGGAACCGAACGTATCCGCCCATCCCACGTCTTAAACCCGCTCTTCGACTGCCCGAACTCAAGAAACGCCCTGAAACCCCCACCCCGCCACCGCATAACCCACGGCCGCAATCTCCCCTTCACATTCGTGCAACTGGCCATGCGCGCCCACCGCTTCGGCCCCAGCTACGGTCTGGCCCCAGACGCGCTCGGTCGACGCTGGCAACGCGACAACTGGTCCCACACATCGCGCTTCCACATCCACGAAGGCCGGCTCCTAATGCGCGTCACCAGCCAGACCTTTGCGGCGCCGGCTCTCACGGCGTCCGCGCAGCGCATGCTGCTGTACTCGCGCGAAGACTACTGTCCGTACTTTAGTGCGTGCGCGCACTGGCGGGACGGCGAGCTCATGCCGGCGTGTAAGTGTGCGCTGGAGCATATCCCGCGGCCGCGGAGTAGTGGCGGGTTGCAGGGGCTTGAGCACCGGGTGAAGGATAGGATTGCGGGGCAGGCCTTTGATCCGAATGCGCTAACGACGCTGTGTGGGTTCTGTCGGCCGATGCGGAGGTGTCCCGAGTGTCCGACTGAGTATTTGATTGAGGTCAAGCTGAGTGAGGATCTGGTGGATCGTAGGTTCAAGCAATCTATTGTTATTACGCGGTGGAGTGATCTTGGGGATGGGACTACGCCTGGTGGGATTGAGTGGGGAGCTATTAATGGGAAGAGAGATGATTATGATGCTTTCGCCCATTATGCTAAGCGTGGGATTGCGAGTATCTTTGAGGCGGCTTTTACGGCGGATACGCTTCCTGGGCAGCGGGTTGTTTCGCTGAATCCGAAGAAGAAGAAGCTTGGGGAGGAGGGGAATCAGTGGTATTAGGCCTTGGGCTGGGATTCATTAGAGATGGCATTTATTTTTGCTTTGACTTACTGTATATCATGTTTATTTATTTTTTTTTGGGCGTCTTGGAAAGTGAAAAAGACTGGGAGTTGGGAACAAAACTGGAAGACTTGGAGCTTGGAGTTGCCTGAATTTGATATTGATATTCTGCATTCGATTGATATTGCAACCTGTGCTTTTGCCCCAAGTAGCCTATCCGGGACTAACAGCGTCAAAAGGCACACTAACATGTCTAGGCATCCATATCAACTCTGGAGGTCAAGTTCAGACATCCGTTTGTTTACGACGAGGGCACCCTCTTCCACCTCAACATGCACGTGCTCCATTCATACTTGTCTTGAAGGCGTCTGTCACAAGTCGGCATTGAATAACACACATCCATTGACACGTCTGCTGCCTGTCTATTCATGTGATTGCAATATAACCTCTCTACTCCTCCTCCTCCTCCTCCTCCTCCTCCTCCTTCTCCTTCTTCTTCTTCTCCTGGTCTACTTCTATCACCACATCACCACAACCTACTCGACTTGTACCAGTACTATCCGTCACGATGTCCTCTTCCCAAAGTCTCTGCTTTGGCAACAACCGCGGCCCAGACCCCGGCCCAGAACCTGGCCCCGACCCTGGCACTGGCACTAACACTGGCACTAGCACCGGTACTGACTCCACGCCCCAGGGCAGCTACTGGAGGGTACTATATGGCCTCTACGAGCCCCGATACTGGGTGTAAGTTTCGAAGTCATCTCACCACCTACATTGATCATGGCTGATGAATATATTATATCAGGGAACCCGGCAAACTGCTTTGTGACTGCCCAAGCCACGACGTGTCGAGGTGGCCTACCGAGCTTGCCGAGCTGGTGCGTATTCCAAACCAATAACCCTCCTTGAGTTCGCTAACACGCATCGCATCCTTATTAGACAATCGCCTCCTGCGCTTACAGGTGTCCCTACTGTGACGAATTCAACAAGAACGGAAGGACAAGGCTAATGGCTTCGAACCTTCGTCGGCACATCACCAAGACGCATATTGTAAGGTGATATTACTGATTGATGACATCACGGTGTCTTGCTAATATGTACTAGGAGGGAAACGCTCCTGTCTATGGTACTCTTGTTGTCGCGCCTGGATGGAAGAAGTAAGCCTACATCGAGGGCTGGAATGATTCACCTTCTCTTCTAAGTGACCCTCCACAGCAGCGACAAATATCAGTTTCGCCCCCGCAGAGTCGGGTCTACGAGTCAGGGAGGACCATTTAACCTTGGAAGGCATGATGAACATACGAGGTGGAGGAGGGAGGACAGGTTTGTGCTCATTGCGGTACTATCAGCTAGTTGACTCCCGTGATAACACAATACAGGCCTACATTGGGATAACTTCAGATCGTACACTTTCGTAGAATTATTACTCTGTAACATAGCATATTAGACGTTGCAACACATTCTAAATTAACCCCGCCAGCAGGATCGCCGTCTAAATTTGACAAAAGTGCAGAAGCCTAGTCATGATCCGGATACTTCAAGAAGGAAAACATAAATGAAGCAGAAAGAGCTTGTAAGTCGCATAGGGCTTCCTCTGGGAAGTGAACGATAAGAGCAAAAAAACCACTGTAGCCATGCTACTGTGTGTACAGGGCTGGGTATCATATATTACGAAAGGAAAAAGAAGCAGGATGGAGGTAACGGGAGGTGAAGTAAGAAAACAGAGAACAGGAAGTGAGGCAGTAATGACTGCCTGTAGAGAAGCTCAGCCCCTGCGAGCACGACGGCCCATATACCGAGGCCGTCTTGCATGTTCATCAGAATGGACAGCCATCTCGGATTGGGGTCTGTCATGGGCCTCCATGGAGTCCGGCGTCTCGGCGCGGGGGATTCCAAGCCCATGAACAGTTTCGTAGGCTAGACGCGAGGGAGCGCGGTTCTCCTTCGGTACGGAGTCGATTGACTTCTCCATCCCGGGAACAGACACGGAATCACAACGTTTACCCTTCATCCAACCGAAGATGCCGAGTGAGCTGCGCCGCTTGTGTTCTATGCCATGGGATGTGGAAGGGCGCGCTGAGACCGTTGCGGAGCTGGGGTGGTCGGCAAGTGTTGAAATTGTCAAGGATTGCGGGAATCCTCGTGGTCTGAAGGCTGGGGGCGGTTCTTCATTGTGGGTTGGGGGGTAGGACGAGTAAAGGTCGGTTGGGCCCGTGACTATCTGGGACATGGGTCTTCGGGAGGGGCCGCCCATTGTTCTGGTTTTTGGGATCACTGGAGACGGGGCACCGTCTTCATCGTCGTCTCCGAAGTCATTTGGAATTGGGGAGCCTTGCAGACGGTGGGGTTTGTTGGTCGAGCGGTTGAAGAATGGGGGTATGAAGCTAAGGCGTCGACGGGGCTCATGGTTGGTTTCAGATTTGGGCTTTGACTGGGCGACGTCGAGGGGTTGTTCCAGGATGTCCAGAGTGGTCATGTCAAGAGTTGGGATACCAGGGACTTCGGGCTCACTTGGATCCGAAGCGATGCTGCTGTCGTCATGGAAGGAAACTGGACTGACGGCAGCGCGTGGTTGCAGCCCTGTCTGTTGAGTTTCGTGGCGGATATCAAGCGGCTTGGGATTGCGAGATCGTGAACCCGGCTTCGCAGCGGCAACCCAGTCTTGAGGTGTGAGTGGTGATGTAGAGTCGCGGTCACTGGTGTGTGGCACCGGAGTCACGGCCTTGGTTGGGCTACGGACACATTTAATTGTTGGGGTTGATGCTTCGTTGGCATTTGCGTGATACAGATCTCCAAAGGTTTCAATAGCAGGGTTGTTGGGGCTTCCAGGGCCAAGAAGTGCGCTGGCTTTAGAAGAAACAGGGTTGAAAGAGGGCAAGATAGTGCGCGACTCGTCAGCTGTGACTCCTAGGCGCGGAGTATCACTGCAGTTGTTCTGCATGCTGTGATCAACCTCACTGCCATTGAAGCTGTAGGGACTGGCCAGCTCTTCCGCCGAACGTGGGCGGTTAACTCGCCTACTAGGGAAGAACAAATCATGCTCGGTCTGTGGACTCTTCCGGGCTGTAATGCTCCCATTTGACCCATTCGATCGGTTTGCACCAGTAGCATATGCCGTACTCATAGTATCAGGGGTAGGAGGAAGCCTGACCCCTCCGAAAAGGGATGCATCCAGACGTCCGCGTCCGCGCGGCTTGGGGGCATACAAGTCTGTTGTAAAACTTGGGATGCTAGCCTTGGTAGCATCAGATGATGCCCGGTTCCTGCGTCTCGTGATTATAGTCTGGTTTACGTCTTCGCGGGACTGCATCCACCGATCAATCTGGTCTTTTTTGCTTTCCTCCCGCCCGTTGGGGGGAACATAGCTATCCACGCTGCCTGCGGTCGACGACGATCTCCGAACAGGAATCTCGAGCTGATCAAATTCTTGCCATCTCGTAGGCGTGTCGAACGGATTCAGCTCACTGCATTCACTCAGGACGCTCAGTCTAGGTGACTCAGGGTCCATAATCTCGGTGGTCGTGTGGAAGCTCTCTGATTTCGTAAGTTCAGTCTTTGCAGTGCGTGACTGGGATTCTTCTTCGGGGACATAAAGGCTTCGCAAAGTGGCAGTACTTTTGTTATCCGCTCGTAGGAAGGAGGGTGCTTTCGAGAGTTTGCGTAGCTCAGAAGATGCCTGGCGCTGAGCCACGCTCGAGACACTTGAATTTCGCTTGGAAGAGGTTCTCTCCGGGATCTCAAGCATGGCGCGGGATTTCGCTGCGAAGGCGTCGGAGCCATCGGCGGTCATAGGGCGTGACATAGACAGCCTGGAGCGGCCGCCATTCTCCAACATGTCAATTTTCGATTCCAACTGGCAGATGAGCTCGACGGCTTCGGTAACAGCCATATCGCGCTTGTCAAGGTCGATGCGGAGTTGCTCGTTGGAGTCACGTAGGATCTGGTTGTCCCTCTCGGTGGTTCGAAGCTCCTCCACTTCTGCTACCAAATCGTCCATGTGCGCTAGTTGTTCTTCCATCTCCGCCATCCGTTCCAGCTTTTTTTCATAGATAGCCATCTGTTGTGTGCGGTGGAAGACCTCGAGCTTCAAATCGAAATTGAGCTTATTCATTTTCGAAACATACTTTAAACGAGTCAGTTAGTGCACATGTTGTTCCCGTGGTCACAGACTCACTTGGTCCATTTCCCGCATGCCCATCTCTTTTGGTTTTCTCTGGCCAGCAGAGAAAACGTCATTCGCTTTGCGTGCTTTTTCAGACGCAGTATCTTCCTGGGTCCGAGTGGTCTCAGGGGTTTGAGGAGCATTTTCTCTAAAATCCTCTGATATGCCTCCTCGGGAGCTTCGGTGTGCGCGTTCTTCCTTGAGTAAATCCTGCAAGAGAGCTGATGCAGGGTTTACTAGTGTAGGGGTGCCGGGCTCGTGGGTTTCTGAGCCACCAATAATCAGTCACTTGTGCTCTAGATCCATCCAACGTTGCTGGTAATCGGAAGACATACCAGATGAGCGAATTGGCGTCTTTGTGCCCTGGTTAATAGGTGATTGATCTCTCAGCCATGAGATCTCTGCATTCGTTCGAGGTGGAGTAAACATATTCGCTCGGCCCTTGACGCGTGACAGTGATGGGTGCTGAGGACGATCTGACAAGTCTTGGGGAAGAAGCAATGTCAGCTTTGATTAATTAACCCTGATTTTGGGAACTCAAGAGGGGGTGCAAGTTCAAAGACCACGTACTGGAGTGGTCTTTAGAGGAAACGCTGCGTTTGGGTGCAGTCTTGGGATGATATACGGGGCCGTCAGAGTGCGAAGGAGCAGGCTGACCAGCAGCCGAGCTCCTTCTTTGAGTTTTCCCATTCATAATGGCTGCCGGCATAGTGTTTACCGAATGCGCATAATTGACGTGCCGTAACAAGCCCCCAGTTTCCCAGTTTGGACGCAGCACTGCAGTAGCCTTGTCAATCAGTGGACACCACGGTAACAATTTCCTGCACAATCCACCGGCCGCATCGGAGGATTAATGGATGGATCTAGGGAGATTGACGTCGATTGGATGGTGGTAGGTAACACACAGGCGCGATGCGAGGGATGCAGACCTGTTGCAGGTGGGGGGCGATCACAGGTTGGTTCGGTTGAACCAGTGGAGCGCAAGGTAGGTTTGTAAAGTCAATAGACCCGAATCAAGGCACAGGGAGGCTTCTCCCTCCAAACCTAAGACTCAAGGGAGAAGGCGGGACAAGTCAAACGAAGTGAGGGTGATGTCGCAAACGAATTGTGATGAGTCTCCACAAAAGAAAAAAGAGGTTGCAGTCACAGGCCCCACCCTGTAGACGTTATTTGTTTTGAGGAACGGTTGTTATGAGCGAGGTAAGGAATGGAAGGATCGAAGAACGGAAGAATGGAAGAAACATAAGATAATCAACTCCAACCTTGAAAAGATTCAAAGATGTTAGCCACGTCTACTCCGTATGTTGTACTTTTCTCTTTCTTTCCAGCCCCCCAAAGGCTAGAATTCAATAGGCTCCTTAGTACGACGATCAATTCGCTTTTAATGCTAAGTCGCTCTATTCCTCGACACCAATCGGATCTGGGCCGTGGGTCTCACTTTGGCACGCGGGGTTTCTCCTGTTAGATCCTGACTTCATAACTGTTACAGAATTCTTGTTTCAGTTGGAAGTAGATGTGGTGATAATGAATATATTCGGGTTATGGATCGTCTCGATCAATTTCACAATAGGAACATTGAAAGATCTAAGGTCGAAATGTATGAAAATCGCATACAAATGGTTTAATATATCAACATTCCATTTCCATGGATCCAGATCTTGTGTCTCCACTTGGGCGTATCCTTGGGAGTCGATGTGTCTCAGCATTTTAAGGTATTCGACTTCACCTGTCAGATCTGATACATGCGCTTATTACACTACTCTGTACATTGTATACTCCGGTATGTCATGTTCTTCATTAGGTTATAGTCCAATAGCCTTGAAATATACTCATACAACGGGAATAAAATAAAGTCAGACCAAACCCAAATCCTGTCCTACGTCACATGCAGCCTATCAGATTGAAGAATCATATTGTCGGATAAAATGCATCATAACCTTCACGAGCGAGCGCAGCTCAGAGCCCATGAGAAATGCCTCGTCACAAACAACTACTTACGTTTCGCCTCTCCAGACCAGATCCGCATGTCCTTGGCCCGGTCATGAGCAGCGCGGAACACTATCGAACCATATATGTCAGTGACCGTATCCCCCATCCACGTATCTGAAACAGGCACATAACCTACATTGTCGCTCAGTCTCATCCAGCCCGCGAAGGAAATCAACCCCGCCGCCGACTGCACCACGCGAGTTGTGCGCGTGATCAGCGATCTCTGCCGCTCGTTTCTTGAATGCCTGACAGCTCGTTAGTCCCAGCTCAGCCAATGAGCTGTGTTCACCAGTCGCGGAGATCAGAGCCACCTACATCTCCGAGAACGTCGACCATCTCTTCTTCCTCGAAGAGTTCGAGGATCCTCTCGCTCAGGTTGTAGAAATGCGGTGCTAAAGCGCGCAAGTCAAGCGTGCGCGGATCTGCCTTCAGAGCATTCATCACACGCTCCGAAAGCGCTTCGGGCATGTCGAGCGTAACTAGACGGGACGTTCCTAGACGCGCTCTGTAATGGCCAAACATAGCACGTTAGGAAAATAACCGAACTTCATGTCTAGTCTTCCAAATATGCTGAACTGGGTGGGACCTTACCCGATCGAGAGCATTTCACCCAGCCATAGTGGAAGATCGATCCGGGTTCCGGCTTTTATCTGTGCATGTCAGTAAGCCGTGTGGCCGGACAGTGGAAATATAGCGTAGACTCACATCTTCGCCCGCATTGCCCTCTAAAATACCGAGTCCGGGTACTTCAAGCTCAAATGTACACGGCAGTTTCTAGATCGACAATTGTCAGCAATTGTTCATTTCTGCGGGTTGGTGTTGAAGGGTACGTGGTCGCAATCAACTCACCTGCGCATCAGTCAAGATAGAGTCAATATCATAGTAAGACATGATGACACGTCGGAATATTCATGTTCTGTTGATCGCAAAGTTGTGGGATTGAGGCGCGTCGATAACGGCGCGCGGTCACGTGTTACCCGCGCGAAGGGAAATTGGTGGAGAAACCGACATCTACCACAACTGCTGGAAGTTATGAGCTTCGGGGATCTCTGTCTCTGTTCTATTCCTAGACTGGCTACGAGTAATTTATTAGAATGGGAGGAATATCTCGATTGCCAGTTGGGAATCTGGCACTTCCAAAGCATCACATCACTTCCAGATATGCGCCTCAATGCACTGGGACTTTATACCCGTTATTTCACTTTTTCCTGACAATCGCATAAGGATCAAGAAAACCAATCCAATCTCGCACGCCGAACCTGAGCTTGGAATTTCAGGCTCAGTCGCTAGCCTTAGGTATGTAGACATCCGATATTACATATGTACCCTACGTGGCACTGCACACGGACGTATGCACGCCACAGCGTCTCGGCGCGATACATGTATTTGAATATAGTTTTGTCGCATAGCCAGATATTGACTCGGCGGCATCAGCAAAGTTGAGCATACGCTCTCTCGCTTCGGGGTATTGAGAACTGTCAACGTCATATATATAGTCGCAACGGTGTGGATTCCCTTTCCCATCAAATTCCCAAACAGAGCGGAGACACAGATGTAAATACAAAACGTTAAAACAGGCACGACCATAGTCCCTGACTCAAAGCCCATACAGTTCAGCAAATGGATCGTGACTAGGGTTCTCATGTCGAGTATGTTCTATGCTATTTGAGATCTTCCTCGCCACCTCGCTCCCATAGACCTCTTCAATCCAAGCAAGAGTAACATCAATGCCAGCACTAACCCCAGAGGAAGACCAAACATTACCATCAACGACCCATCTCGCACGAGGAACCCAATCAACATTCACCGCCAAACCTGTAGTCTCAGCCCAGGCCATCTTATTCGTTGTGGCTCGTTTCCCATCCAGGACCCCAGCTCGCGCGGCAAGCCCGGAGCCAGTACACACCGTAATAAGATAGCCCAGCTGGGGATAGACGTTTCGGATGTACGAGATTGCTTCCTCGATGGCTGGGTTCGAGCCGCGCGTGCCCAGGCCACCGGGGACGAGAAGCAGATCCAGAGACGGTGCTGTTGCAAAGGTGTGGGTTGGCACCACGCTTTGGCCTATGGCGTTGACGGATGCCGGTAACTTTGTAGTCACTGGCTCTAGGGTTGAGGATATAAGTGCCAAAGTCACGCTGTGGCTCCATGAGAGGACGTTGATGCAGTCCACTGGGCCGAATACATCCAGGGCTTGAAAGCCTGGGAATAGCACTACGCCCACGCGGAGCCGGGCGGATTTGCCTTGAGATTCTGGATGCACAATCTGTTAATATGAGGAATATGGGCTGGAAGCGAGCGCCATACCAGACATGTCGTTTGTGGTTTCGCTGTCGCTAAGGATAGTGTGCAAGCCCTCCTTTCTGTCGTTAAAAAGCAATTTCCTCTACCAGGGTTGACGTTAAAATGGGTGGTCTGGTCTTAATATACACGGCCAGGTGTTGGAATGACCTAGCCACAGCCTTGCGTCGGTTTTGAGCAGATTAGCACGTAAGCAGGAATGGTCCCGTTTTGGGAGAGTCGGAACTTGCTAAGGCATCATTTGATAACGAGGAAAAGCGTAGATATTTTCTCAGTGGAAAATCTGCTTGGTTGAAAATAAAATGTCAAAATAAGCTTATTTTCTCCGGGGTGATCGCCTTAATAACCGTGGATGGAAGTTTCCGGGCTCTGAGGCGGAGATTGAGTAGGAGAGACGGACCTATACCTGTTTGTTTTCGCAGCCCAGAGACAGCACCGGATATCACCCCGAACCTACCAGATATTGATCAAGCTCCTCATTTCTTCCAAAATGGCCGCCGCTGGCCCCTGACTTTCTGTGTCGCAGGAAATCGCCATTGTCGTTACAGACCAACCGAGCCTGTTATTCCAATTCTAAAAGGTCATCCAAGTCCGCGATCGTCTCCCCGAGTGCGACCTGAAGAATATGATGGACGTTGAATAGAGTAGCTCCGATCTCCTCTTCGAGGACTCCCTGGTAATCGCTTTATCGAGGATAATGGTGTTCCTTTCTGCAACCTTGGCGCAGCCAAACAGCCAGCAGAAGACCTCCCAAGTTTTAGGACAAATGAGTGGAACTGTCAGTTACCATCTCCAGTATGTGTGCAAATATGGGTCATATGGATGCGGCTGGATTCTCTGAGACAGGGATAGAGTTGCTCGGTCTTGAGTTCCAGGAAAAAGACAGGAACTCTGTGCCGGCGATGGTTCGAGATATAGTTCCCAAGGTACTTTCGTCGGACCTGACTACTTCAAGAAGATTGAACCGACGATAGTATCGCAGTCGATCGTTCCTCAGTAGGGACGAATGAGTACATATGTATAAGAAGAGATTTATGCAAGGTTATTGTTTGATATCACAGGTCACGAGACCATCTCGAGTCTCGAGCACCAATCGATGTATCCTTATTAGTCAGTTCGTAGCAAGGCAAAGCAATCCAATTTTAAAATAAACTGAGGCCACGGTATCTGTTGATGGCCTGATTGGTCCAGGGTTGTCAAGTACTGCAGCTCAAATGCAAACACCTCGGTATTGCCTATTTGAGTTGCCTTTTTATGCATGCTACCGGGAAGTCTGCAGAAAGGCAACGAGGCAAAGCAGAAATGGCGAGAGTGTGGTTAGTATATTCTAGTTTGCCCAAGACCTCCTTATCGTCCTTGAGACAGCTCCTTATATACTCCGTTAGATAAACGAAAATGCCAAGACCTCTAGAACCGAGTGGAGAGTCAAACCCGCCTAGCGCAGAACGTGTTGACTGGTCTAAGACATGAGCACAAAGGGCCCCTAAGTGGCTTAGTGCTTTTATTTTCCTTGTTTTGGGGCGATTTAGGAAATTACATCGATATAATTAGCATTATTATCATTAGCATTAGTTTCAGTTGGCATTCCAGGGCAAATTATTGTACGACGGCAGACTTCCAAAATTAACTACCCCAGCCCAACTTTCCTGGTTTTTCGTTTCTTTCCCTGCATCCCTCCAGTCTGGCTTCATTTCTTTGTCTAGCATCCCTGTTATTCCGAGTCCCTTTGATCCCGAAACCCACTATCGATTTGAACCGGTCTGAATGGATGGATAGTCGGTGATTAAAACCTATATTATGGCGTACAATGCCGTCGCTCAAGTCGACCACGAGGTGGCTTCTATTTCTTCCGGCTCTGCATCACGCAGTCCCTCGCCCGCTCATGGACATGTGTTTGAACAGCTGCCGCTTGATACTGATCATATCGGGGGAGGAAGCCATCTAGAACCCGCCAAAACCACGGATAACCCCGGTCTCGGTCAGTTAGGTTCAATAATCCGCTCCATGACTTCTACCAGCTACGATGTGGTGGAGGACGATGACTATGACGCCGATCCTTCCCCCGAAGAGCGATCCAATAGCCCCCGTATTCCACCACTTAATACGGCTGTCGCGCGACATTCTCCTCCCGAGCCCCCGATCCATAGCGCATGCGGCGAGGTTTCCGTGCCTCTCAGTCACCCTACCCCGGATCTGCAGTCGATACAAGGAGCCTACAAAGGGAATGTAACGCGGTTGGAACAAAGCGCGGAGCAGCTGAGCTCGTGCTCCGCGGACATTGAGAGCGAAATCCGTCGTATGGACCAAGAGCAAAAGCGACGCTCAGTCAGTTCCGCGTCTAATTCGATGATTCACCGGGCTGGCGCATTCTCGCCCGCAGGGACAGTTTCCTCCGCCCATGGATCAAATGTGTCCCCCGCGCGTCAGCGCTCTGTATCAGCGGCGCGTCTGGCTCAGCTCCCTGAGCCTGCACACGATGAGGATGAGCACGAAGTGGATGAATTCCCCGGGCTCCCTGATCTACCACCTTCACAACCCCTTTTCACTACCCAGAGCGACTACTATTACGACCAATATGTTCCGCAGGGAGTTCCCCCAGAGGCGGAGTTGGAGCGCCGGGCCTCGGTCGCGTCGAACGATACCTACCAGCAGGCGCGGACACTATTCACCGACTTTGATGGCGTCCATTTCACACCCGTGGAGCCGGGCCGGCAGGTTTCTTTGGAGCAGCCACCGCTCGCCCGCAAGCCGGAACATTACAAACAGCCACAAGCAGGAGAGAATATGGTGTTTTATCCCGCCCCTGTCCCACGCATGTTGAATTTGCCACCGAAGTTGTCGCGCAAGACAAACATAGACCGGGATAAGCGTCGTACACAGCTTGCAGGCGCCATCGCTGCTGAGGATAGAAAGTCAACCGCTGTGCTACCTGGCGCCGATCAGAGAGATCCACGCGATAGCCATAACGATAAACGCAAATCGACAATACCACCACATCTCCGTGCGAGTGTGTTCTTTGATCAGCCAAGTACATCACTCCAGGTCGAGGTTAAACAAGAGTCTGCCGTTGCTACGCTGGAGAGCATTTTGGACGCCTCTGCGAATGCACCCGTTTCGGCCTTCACTGATCACCCGTATGCCGGTGAGGTCGGCGGGTTCATCTACAAATCAAAACGCAAGACCCTGACAAAAGATTCGACAGGGCAAAAGACAAATCGTCTTTCGCGAGCCACGATTGGCCAGCCTTATAACACTAATAATGTAGACGACCATGGGGTCCCAGTCACTTCGCAATATGGATCAGAAGCTGGGAATGACTCTGATAGAAATCATGATGACCACGGTCATGAGCGTGGGTCGGAAGGCACTGATGCCGAAAGCGATGAGCAATCTGAAGACGAAGATGAAGAGGATGAGGAAGACGGGGAATTAGATTATGTTGGTCCACCGAATACGCTGATCGCCGAATTGGAGTTGCGGAAGCATGAGTTGAAGCACCGACGTCGGACGGCTGTGCCTGTGCCTTTCCAGGGTATGCAGACCACTTTGTTAGAAATGGACGAGATGGCCCAAAAGCAAAGTGATAAACGGCGGCAACGTCCTGTCGCTTTAGCCTGGGAAGGCCGGGATGAAGACGAAGACGTTCCCCTGGCTATGTTGTACCCCGAGAAAGCCGGTGCCGAAAATGAGGATAGACCTTTGGGGTTGATAGCGAAGCGGCAACAAGAAGAAAATGAGCCTCTGAGCTCCCGCCGTGCCAGGCTGCGGGGTGAGCCAATCCCTCAGCCGGAGCAACGTCCTGCTACAGTGTACGCAGCAGAACACCCGGCGCATGTTCCTGAGCCGGCCGCCGAGAGTGAGGAAGAGACGGAGATAGAGACCCTCGCCGAGCGACTTCAACGGTTGAAGGGACATAACCGCTCGGAGAGCAAATTCGCCAGCGACTTGATGGCCGAGATTGATTCCCGGGCTGGAGTTGCGCCCAAAGCCGCCCAAGAAGAAGTCCCCGGCCCCAACGAGGAAGAGACACTCGCACAACGACGCAGTCGACTTCAGAAAGAGGCCGCTGCCCAACCCGGGCCCCCAAAGAACCCCCGAATGCGCCGCAGCATGGCCGCGCTTACACAGGGTCGCCCTTCCCACCTTGCTCGCCAGTCGTCGCATGATGTTTTCAATCGGCGGCCGGTCACCATGTCCCAGTATGGGAACCGGATGTCAATGCAACAATTCCCGACACAAATGGGATACCCGACACCTGCAGGATACCCGGTGGCACAGCAATATGGGTATCCCATGAGCCCTGCGATGATGGGCATGAATAGCATGGGGTATCCTCCAAACATGGCACAAACCCCTGGCCCGGTCAAAACCGACGTGATCAACCGCTGGAGGCAAAGCATTCGTTGAAAGCGTCATTAATTAAGTTTTTGCTTTATATTTTGTCTGTTAGCATAGCATATTGTCGTTTTGAGCGTGTCATTCTTTGATTTATTGTTTCTCGAAGGATATCTATGTAGCATAGCTGTACGATTTATAGAGGAATTAGCGCATACATTTCCAGGGGGGTTCTGACGTGTCTAAGAAAAGTGTCAAGACCAGAAACAAGTAGGGGCAAGAATGTGACTTGATATTGCAGTTAGGCCCAGACACTCCACCAAGGCAAGATGGGTGTAACGTCACTTTTAGCCGCGCGTTACTTCGATCTTTTCTCTTTTATTTAAATAGACATGAAAATCGAGGTCTTCACTGCAATATTTATCACGTATTGCTGATTTACCCCTTTCGTAAATCGAGTTCAGGAGGCTTACAAGAGCTTGAAACTTACGAACCTTGGAAGTCCACGGGTGGCTTCTGCGTCCCCCACGGTCCGTTGTCTATACATGACAGCGTCTTTTGTTCAACACTCAGCACATGCAGTTGAGAACTGCAATGGACTATTACGCCCCTCATTGATCATCGCGACTGAATCTGGCGTCGTGAGGGCCTCAAATAACTGCCATGCCACCGTCTACC